TGCATGTGGTGTAACTTATTCCTTTGTTTCTTTCAATTTCTGTTAAATGGAAGTTAGATTTCAGATTTGGTTGGATTCAAGTAAAGCATACTTGGCAAAATTATTCCTTAGGTGATGTTGCCTGGTTCAGACACTAGGAAGTACATAATTTCTGCTTTTTTTTACTACTAGTAATCCTAAATTAATTTACTTTGTTTAGGTGATGACTACCAAATTTTACCATTTAAAGGTCATTTTCTTCTTTGCTGTAAATAATTAATCTTAACACCATATGAATTTCTTATTTATTAACCTTTTACCTACTGACTTTAATATCCACTAATGAACCTCACCTGAATTAAGTTATTACATTGGGGATTACAAAAATGGTGATTTTTAAAATTTGACCATTCCTTCTATATAATTAGCATTTTTCTGTAAAGTACTTTAATTTTTTCCCCTTTCACTCTTTTCTTCTTTTGTGAAGTATCACAGTAGACTGGTGGATTTTTGTTTACTTAATTTGCTACTAATGAGTCATTCTTTTTGATGCTCAATTTATCCCAAATTTGGCCACAAAGCCCCAGCTGAGAGGGACTGAGAGTCCCCTTTAGATCTGCTGCTGTTTCTCTTGATATGCCCTCATCTATTAGTTTTAAACACTTTCTTGCATTAGAATAAGGGTTTAAAGATTACTTTGTACTTTTCCTGTCCCAGCCATTGAAATCAGCCTTTTTTCTAAGGAGTCTTGGTTCCCTAAAAAGGAGTTGTTTAAATATATATATATATATATATATTTTTTTTTTTTCTGTTTTGTCCTCTCCCGGGGACCTTTCTTCATTTCATTTTGTATTAGATCAGGAATTACATAGTAAACCACCAGATTCAGGTGTCCTAGACATCTGAGGCAAGGGTGGGATGGGGTAATGGGAGTGGTCTCTGCTGCACCAGAAGAATTCTTCCAGTTTAAGACAGTTGCTTAGGCAACATGCTAGTAGCATATGCTGTCTTCTGGTCCTTCTCCTTCCACCCTTTTCTCTCGCAGAATTTTTTTATCTTTCATTTCTCTATTCATTTGCCTCAATCTCTAGTTTTAGTATTTTTCTATATAATGCGTTTTGGGGGTTAAAGGCTTTAAGCTTTGCAAAATCACTGTTTCCAGCAGCTGTTTCAGCAAATTAATTTGATGTTTAGGTTTTTATATGATAGTGCTTAATATTAATTTATTTTTCTGTTGGAAAGCTTTATTTCTTTGATGAGATCATGAGGACTGCTGTTTCTCTCAGTTTTTAAATCACAGTTGAGCAGACCTGCAGTGCTGGGTTCACATCATGGTTGGTGCACACCTTCCCTTAGGTTGAATTTCATCCATCTGTTGCATTCTGCCCTGTCTGTTGGCCAGGACTGAGTTAAATATGTCTTCTTTCTCAGTATCTCCCCTCCCCCCACCATCAGTTAAGAAGGCATTTTACCCACATTTTCCTCACATAAATCTCTCTCTACAGATGGAGGATTGTAGTCCCATTGTGCTAAGGAGGAAGGAGAATTACTGTTTTGCATGTACATATATTTTGGATTTTATAGGAAAGGGGAGGGCATTTCAAAATCTGGTAAATCAATACAGATATAAAAAATTGATGAAGTTAGGACTGCCTGTTTTATATTCTGCCACATAGCATGTATTTAAATGAATTTGCCTATAATTTGCCTTCAAATGCTGACATTTAACTCTTAGGCTGTATAATTGGGCTAACTTTTTCATGAATAAAATTCATATTCTGTGTCCAGGCTAATATGTTCATCTGCTATAAACATTATTGCCTATGGTAACAGCTAGAATAAAAAAATTCTTTTTATATACATCATATAGCTGGCAGAGACTCTTGGGACCACCACAAATCATTCCTGTCTTTTTGAGATTGCTGAGAAAAAGTGTGGGAATGTAAAACCAACCTGGTTTGATGTAGATTGACTTTGAAAGGATATTAGCTTATTTAGACCACTGTTCATTGTGTCGTTGTTGTTTTTTAAGATGCTGAGTGTTAAACATTCTCTTCTATTTAATATATTCTTTAGCTTAGTAACCAGCCTTTCATTATGAACCAGCTCCTATCCTACAAGTCATCTCTGGCTCCTTTTTTGTTAAAGGTTAATAATGAGAATAATGAAACAGTTGGTTATTTATGCAGTCAGGATTGGCAAAAATTATTAGAATAGGAATCTGCCCAGGAGCAATGATTAGGTTATGAAAATGTTAAGAAGAATACTGAAGCCAGTCACCATTTTTGACATTTAAGAAATACTATTCCCACCCTTAATCATGATGGCCTGTTATAAAGGTAATTATACAGACTAATCTCATTGGACAGTAATTTTATATCAATAGCATTCATAATTAGGTGTTGAGGGGAGACTCAGAAATGATCTGAAAGAAAAATGGGCCTGGGGAAGAAATTACCACAATGAGAAGTAGGGAACAGAGAACTCACCCTTGAATAGAACTACCTGTCTCCCAGACACCTGATCTATGAGTTTGAGTATCTTCTTCTTGAGTATTTTGCAAGTTTGAGAAGCTGTGGAAGAGGGTAACTCCAGGTTAGGTTGCCGTGTTCTACATGCTAGACTGTAAAACACGTATATGGGAAAAAATTTTTTCTGATGTTGCTTTTATTAATGAAATATTGACTTAACTGACATACAAAACCAAAGAGAGCCAAATCTAATTATAATCTTATGTTTAGTATAGTTAGAACTTTCTATGTAAATTAGGCAGTGATTGCTTTGACCAAAACAGTTTCATCACTTCTATTCTGAATTTTTTGTTAACAGCTTGAGTTATAATTCACATACAATAAAAATCACCTGTTTACAGTATACAGTTCAGTGGTTTGAGTATATTCCCAAAGGTGTGCAAAGACAAATATCTAATTCCAAATCATGTTCATTACCTCCCCCACAAAACTTATACCCGTCAGCAGTTGCTTCCTATTTTCCTTCTTCATCTTTTGGTAACCACTAATATACTTTCTGCCTATATGGGATTGCCTATTATGGATGCTTATCTCCCTGCCCTTTAACACGTATAATGAGTATTTCAGAAAATTAGAGAAGGGGGCAGGAAATGAACATGGATAAATATAACTCTTATTTGTGATCTGGTATGCTTAAAATTGGTAAAGAATCTGCCTGCCAATGCAGGGGACACAAGAAACATGTGTTCGATCCCTGGATCTGGAAGATCCCTGGAGTAGAAAATGGCAACCCACTCCAGTATTCTTGCTTGGAAAATTCTATAGACAGAAGAGTCGGGCGGGCTTCAGTCCATGGGGTCACTTCAACATGACTGAGTGACTTAGCACACACAAATACACACACATACTTGGAATTAAGTTTTCTTTTCCCTGGCTCATTGGAAGGTATATTTTAAACAACAACAGTAGCATACATAGAATATGTAGCCTTTTGTGTCTTACTTCTTTAGCATATAATGTATTCAGGGTTCATTCATACAGTAGCATGTAGTAATACTTTGTTTCTTTTATGATTGAAAAATATTTCATTTTATAGGTGTACCACATTTTGTTTATCCATTTTTCACTTGATTAGACATTTGAGTTGTTTTTACTTTTTCACTGTTATGAATAATGTCACTTTGAATATTCATGTACAAGTTTTTGATGTGAACCTGTATTTTCAGTTCTCTTGGAGAATTGGAGTGGAATTGCTGGGTCTTACAGAAACACTGTGTCTAATTTTTTGAGACATTGCTAAATTATATTCCAATACAGCAGCTTTGTACATTCCCCTCAGCTATGTTGGAGGGTTCTGATTTCATCATATTCTTACCAGCACTTGTTATTGTCAGTCTTTTTGATGATAGCCATCCTAGTAAATGCAAAGTGGTATCTCAGTATGGTTTTGATTTCCATTTCCTAGTGGTTAGTGGCTAATAATGTAAAGCATCCTTGCTTACACTGCTTAGACATTGTATATTTTCTTTTGGGAAATGTCAAAGTCCTTTGCCCATTTTTAATTAGGTGGTAGTTTTTTATTGTTGAGTTATGTAACACCTTCATGGGCTTCCCAGGTGGCAATAGTGGTAAAGAACTGCCTGGCAATGCAGGAGACATAAGAGATGCAGGTTCCATCCCTGGGTCGGGAAGATCCCCTGGAAGAGGGCATGGCAACCCACTCAAGTATTCTAGGCTTGGAGAATTCCATAGACAGAGGAGCCTGGCAGGCTAGAGTTCATGTGGTCACAAAGACTCGGATATGACTGAAGCAACTTAGCATGCACATACACATAACATCTTCATATTTATGGATACCAGACCTTTACCATTTGTTCAGTCCAGTTCAGTTCAGTCGCTCAGTTGTGTCTGACTCTTTGAGACCCCATGATGATTTGCAAATATTTTCTATCATTCTAGATGTTGTCTCTTCAATTTCCTAATAGTGTCCTGTGAAGCACAGAGTTTTAAAATTTGAACTCCAATTTATTTATTTATTCTTTGTTGCTGTGCTTTTAGGTGACATTGCCTAAACCACAGTCACAAAGATTTTGCGTTTATGAAGCTTATAGTTTTAGCTATTACATTTAGGTCAGTGATCCATTTTCAGTCAGTTTTATTTATGGTGTGAGGTGGGGGTCCAACTTTTTTTGCATATGTTTGCATTTGTTCTTATTTATTCAGATTTAAAGATTTGAGAAAGAAATATTTAAATAGGATGAACATTGTTACTCTCTGAAACAATACTGTTTCATGATTTTGAGGGGGATACATGTGCTGTGTTCATCTGACGACTACACTTACCTGCACTCTCACCAAGTATGGTTGCATTTCTGCTTCTATGTTGTTTGTTGAAATCTGAAATACTACCCTGCTGGATGCAGTTTAAATCCATTTATTAGTTTTTTCCCTTAATTTGCAATTTCACCTCTTCAGTTACAATATAAAGAATGCCAAGAACTTCTAAGTCTCTATCAGAAGTATCTGTCAGAACAACAGGAGAAGCTCACTATGTCTGTCTCAGAACTTGGTGCTGCTAAAATGCAGGAACAACAGGTAAGTGTCTTACTTCCTACCTTGTTCTTTCATGGATCAACCAGATGTCAGAAGAGTCATTTGGCCTTTTACTTTAATTGTCTCACTGTATACATTATCTTTAGATGTGCGATTACAGTGTGTGATTGAGTTGGTTTAATCTACTTCCCTCTTTCCTTTTCCTCTCCTGTTCTGGGGCCCAGAGGTTAGGAATGATTTCTTGACCAGGCTCTGCATCAGAAGGGAAGCTCCTGGTTGTATGGAAGCACAGCAGGAGTGATAAAGAAAACCCAGTGTTCTGTTACTTAGTGACAATCAGGTGGGCTCTTTTTTTACTCATAAACCTCTTCTAATTCATGTTCAGAGTTTTAGCGTAATAAAAGTGTCTTGGTGACTTGTAAAAGCTTTAACTATAGAAACTGGAATAGTTAACGTGATTTAGTATTTGTATATACTTATTAATCACATAAGTATATATGAGTGTGTATTAACATTTGTATACATATTATCAAATAGTATATATTACCTAGTTAAATGAAAGTTCAGAACCCTGCCAGCTGTGATGTGAAACAAGCTCTGAAGATCTACTTCTTTCTCTCTAGCAACTGACACCGGATGTCTTTTTCACATCCAAATGAATTTAAATCTTCAAATGGATGAGGGTACCTTTTGTATTAAAACACTGTAGGAAAAAATCTTTGTGTATAGTAGGGTCAAAGTCACTCATTTTAGTGTTAAGGCATTGATAATGTACCCATTATCAGTGTAGATTCCATCCTGGTTATGGTTCAGTAGGTTGAACACAGCTACTTTATTACTAATTCTTCATTATCCAGGTTAATTTTCCATTTATGCATGGATGGACAACTTTCAGAAGGATTATCCTGTCTTTTCTGTTAAATTGTACAGGTTCAGGTTCTATATTGATTGCAAGGATTATCCTTTCCCTTTGAGTAGTAACAAGTCCTGAGTGGTTTTCTGTACCCTTACAAGTTTTATTCAACCTAAAGACACCTGTCTCAGATGGGTTAACAGTTTTGGTCAAGAAAACTCCAGTTTTGAACCTCAGGTTTCGACATGCCTGCCTGCATGCTGAGTCACTTCAGTTGTGTCTGACTTTTTGCGACCCCTGTGGACTGTAGCCCGCCAGGCTCCTCTGTCCATGGGGTTCTCTAGGCAGGAATACTGGAGTGGGTTTCCATTTCCTTCTGGAGATCTTCCCGACCCAGGGATCGAATCTGCATCTCATGCTTCCCCTGCTTCGGCAGGCAGGTTCTTTGCCACTAGTGTCACCTAGGAAGCAAGTAAAAAGAAAGAATAGTAACTTGGCTGGAATGTGGTATATCTTAGACTTTTAATATATCCCCCCCTTTTTTTTGAAGTCTACAATATTTATAAGAAAAAACGAAAGTATGAGTGGTTTATTTGTATTCTAACTTTTGAAAAATTTTCTTTGGTTCTGTTTCCTGAAAACTTAGGCTATAAAATGAGGCAGAGAAGGTAGCAGCTAATGTTTGTCTGGATTTGTTTTGCCACTTTACAAAAAGGCAGGTGTATTTTAAGGTGGCCCTTGTCTATTGCTCTCATGAGTGGGCTAGAGAAAACTATAGCATGAAGTTCAGACTTCTGAGCTCTGCCTTTGCATTTCCACTCCCTCCCTGTCCATGACAGGTGTTACAGGGCACAGAAACATTGACCAGGGTATTGGAGGAAAGGCAGAGGGACTTTTCAATTGCCAGTAGTTAGGGATAGAGACTGAAGGAGGAAATGGCAACCCACTCCAGTATTCTTGCCTGGAGAACGTCATGGACAGAGGAGCCTGGTGGGATACAGTCCAAGGGGTCACAAAGAGTCAGACACGGCTAAGTGACTAACACATATACACAAGGATAGAGACTGAGAGTCAAGAAATAGTCATTAGGAGACTCTAAAAACATCTAGATTAAGGAGGCCCAGCCCTTTTTCTATCTACTTCTGGAAAGAGGAGAGTAAAAAAGCTGGCTTAAAACTCAGCTTTCAAAAAACTAAGATCATGGCATCTGGTCCCATCACCTCAAGGCAAATAGATGAGGGAACAATGGAAACAATGACAGACTTTATTTTCTTGGGCTCCAAAATCACTGCAGATGGTGACTGCAGCCATGAAATTAAAAGACGCTTGCTCCTTGGAAGAAAAGCTATGACCAACCTAGACAGCATGTTAAAAAGCAGAGACTTTACTTTGCCAACAAAGGTCCATCTAGTCAAAGCTGTAGTTTTTCCAGTAGTCTTGTATGGATGTGAGAGTTAGACCATAAAGAAAGCTGATCTCTGAAGAACTGATGCTTTTGAATTGTACTGGAGAAGACTCTTGAGAGTCCCTTGGACTGCAAGGAGATCAAACCAGTCAATCCCAAAGGAAATCAGTCCTGAATATTCATTGAAGGACTGATGCTGAAGCTGAAACTCCAATATTTTGGCCACCTGATGTGAAGAACTGACTCATTGGAAAAGACCCTGATGCTGGGCAAGATTGAAGGCAGGAGGAGAAGGGGACGATAGAGGACGAGATGGTTGGATGGCATCCTGGACTTAATGGACATGAGTTTGAGCAAGCTCCGGGAGTTGGTGATGGACAGAGAAGCCTGGCATGCTGCAGTCCATGGGGTCACAAAGAGTTGACATGACTGAGCGACTGACCTGAAGTGAACTGAAAATGAGGCGGGAGGGAGTAAAACTTTCTCAAGGAATAGTGTTTTATGTTTAAACTAGTGATTCTTGGATGTTTCCCTAGCAGCCAGTCATAGTTAACACTGCCTCTCTTACTTAACCTTAAACTTGAGGAACAAAACTAAAAAAAAAAATTCACAAATATTATGAATTGTTGGTCAAGGGTATGGAGAAAGTATATTCTCAAAAGGAGATACTTTTGAATTTTCATTTTAACTTTATCATGAGAAAATTTTAAAACCATGTTTTCAGGAAGGGCCCAGTGGTTATACCACTTGTAGGCTCTACTGTCTGAGTGAAATTAAGGCCACTTGTAGGCTCTACTGTTTGAACCTGGAGGGGAAAATAAGTTCCCTTTTTAACTCCATGTGGCAGTTGTCACCTATATTACCTGATTGTTCTTTGTGACAGGCTTCTTTTAGCTAAACCAAGGAAAGCACTTTCTCACTCAACATCTTGGAACCTGGGTGAATTTGGTGGACAAGTCTAGTTCTGTCCGTAAGGGCATCATTCATTGTGAGCACTCTGAGTGAGGATGTGGTGACGTTAGATGTCCTCTTTATGTGCTCACAAGTAGACTGCTCATCTCTATCATAGAACCATTCTTATTCTTTTGTAATCACTGTTCATTCATCCATCTCTTTCACCAAGCTTTTTTGAAAACAAGTGTCCTGTTGGTTTTTGTACACGCAGAGACTAATATATTTTGGCTTAATAAATATTTAATTTTATTTAACAAAATTTAATATGGTGCATATTATGTACTGGCACTGTTTTTAGCTCTTTCAGTTCAGTTCAGTTCAGTTGCTCAGTCGTGTCCAACTCTTTGCTACCCCATGAATCGCAGCACACCAGGCCTCCCTGTCCATCACCAACTCTTGGAGTTTACTCAGACTCACATCCGTCAAGTCGGTGATGCCATCCAGCCATCTCATCCTCTGTTGTCCCCTTCTCCTCCTGACCCCAATCCCTCCCAGCATCAGGGTCTTTTCCAGTGAGTCAACTCTTTGTGTCAGGTGGCCAAAGTATTGGAGCTTCAGCTTCAGCATCAGTCCTTCCAATGAACACCCAGGACTAATCTCCTTTAGGATGGACTGATTGGATCTCCTTGCAGTTTTAGCTCTTAACGTACATTAAAACATTTAGTCCCTCAGTAGCCCAATGAAGTTATTTTACAGAGGAGGAGCCCGAGGCAGAGCAGGAGATTTGTCCAAGTCATGTAGGTAGCAAGTTGGGAAATCAAGCAGCTGCTGCTTAGTTACTAAATCCTGTCTGACGCTTTGCAACCCCATGGACTGCAGCCCGCCAGGCTCCACTGTCTGTGGGATTCTCCAGGCAAGAATACTGGAGAGGGTTGCCATTTCCTTCTCCAGGGGATCTTCCCAACCCAGGGGTTGAACTCATGTTTCCTGCTTGGCAGGCAGAATCTTTAACACTGAACCACCTGGGAAGCCCTGGGAAATCAAGATGTGAACCCAAACAACCTGACTCTGTATTTTCTTGAGAGAAAGACAAGAACAACTTGAGATAGCTTAAAATATATATATATATAATATATAAATATATATATATTATATATATATATATATATATATATAAAATTTCCTTTAAATGCCCTTGTTTCTACAACTAACCCTCTTTTGGATCTTAATCTGAAATCCAGTTTTTTGAACACCAGAGCACAAATCTACTAGAGATGGTGAGAAACACTGTTTGATTTTTCCGTGAGTAGCCACAATGTTAGGTAGACATAAAATTTTATTTGTTCTCAAAGTAAGGTTTTTTAAAACTCATCTTTAGATTTTGTGATGGAGGTGCAGCTATTCATTTTTCATGAGACGTTCATTTGACTTTAAGAGACTTGTTCAGTTTCTTCTTTGTGTTGGTTGCCATGTGGCTCAAGTGCTTATTATAGGTTTTGTGTATAGCTTTATTAAATCTGCAGTTCTTAAGAATGCCCTAGCTTATGGTTTTCTTTTTACTTCTGGCCATTTGGTTGAAAAGAAGATGCTCCATTTACAAAGTAAATTTTTTCCTTGCTTTTCCCCAGTCTTCTTTCTTGCTTTGCCTCAGAGATGAATTTACATTCTTCATTCATCTTGTAATTTGTTCAGCCTTACAAATTCTTCACTGTGGAATCTAGAAAGATGTTTCACTTACTCTATTTAGACTGAGACACCTCACTGATGTGTGTCTGTTACTACATTTCCTGATCCTTAAGAAACAGTACTTAACAAATATAACCTTGTTGCTTGAACATGGGAGGATCCAGTAACCATAGTTTTGATCAGTGTACATTTTAGAATATAGCT